CAATGGGAAACAAGAAACATCCCTCTCAAATGTCCTCAGATATTGAAAATTAAATTTTCATCAATTAAAATCAAAATCCACACATTCCCTAAATGGAATCCATTTTACAGGCCTCATTCATTATCCCAACTTGACATAAAGCATTAAGAAACAGAAAACAAAAACAGTGATTAAAATACCCCATACTTCTCTGGGCGCCTGGGTGGCTCAGATGGTTGAGCATCGGAGTTGATTTTGACTCAGGTCATCATCCCAGGGTCTGAGATTCAGCGCTGTATTGGCTAGATGCCGGGTTGCAGCCTGCTTTGGATTCTGTCCCTCCCTCTGCCCCTCCCCCACTTGCACTCTCTCTAAATACAACAAAAAGAAAAGAAATAAAAGAATATCTCATACTTCTCAAAATAAAAAAACCATCTTCAGATAGCTCTGGGAGTCGCCCCAGGAAAACGTGAAGCTGCAACACCGACGACTTAAAGACCTAAAGCGATTCTCGGTGGCACCCACGCTACTCCCCAAGTCCCGGACACTCAGCCTCCCGCTGAGCACCCCCTGCTCTGGGCCACGTCGCGCCGATCCCGCCGGCTCTCCGCCAACAGCACAGACCCCGCCTGCCCTGGTCGGCCCACTACCCGCGCCAAGGGCGGCCTCCGAGGTCCCGCGAGGCCCGCACCCCCAGCCCGGCGTGTCCAGTCAACGGGCTATACACACACACCTGTCACCCTAACGAGGACACATCGGCGCGTTTAGTGCAAGAGGCCCCAGGGCTCTGAGTCTCACCTGGAACTGCCCGAAACAGTCTCTGTAGGTAGAGAAGCAGCAGTAGGATCCCTCGGACACCCAAAACCCACAAACCGACCAGAGCGGCCAGGCTGCCGGCGCGTGGGACGGAAGGAGGGGAGGACCCGGAAAGGCGGGGCGGCACGGGGCCACGCCCCGATCAGGCCCCGCCCCACGCTAGCCACGTCAGAAACCAGCCGGACCTTGGCTCAACTTCTCTAGGCCACGCCCCACGCTGGAAACGTCCTTCACAAGCACCGCCCC